CAGCCTCTGTCCCCGGGAAGAAGTGACCCTGACCAGCACTCCTATCTGAGGCCACCCATAGCTCTCTGCCACCCCCTTGCCATGCTCAGAACTGACAAACCCAAGTGCTAACCAGGAGACTGAGCATTTTAGAATCTGCTTCTAGTACGTAAAAGCCACAGTGGGGGAGAGAGTCCAGGAGAGAGTCCGGGGGGACGGCTGTTGCGCGATGTCTGAGCTACTGCCCGTCTCTCTGCAGGGTGGCCAGCGACTCGGCATGGCCCACTGCTCAGCGAACATCCGACTCCAGCGCAGCCCCTCCTGAGATCTGGAGGAAGGGCAAAGGCAGAGCTCCCTACCTGGTGCTGTGGCGGGCGAGTTCTCAGCATCTGTAAGCGGGAGGGGCAGAGACGGCCGTGGGCCGGTGGGCCGGGCCCCTCCCTGGCTGCCTTGGCCGCGAGTGCCCGCCCCCTCGGGAGCCTGCCTGAGCAGATGCCGCCCGTGTCCTCGCCCTGCCCGCAGTTGTGGGAGAGCCAGCCGGCGCGGGCACACTCCCCCAGGCACGGCTCGGCCCTGGCACTGCACGTCGTCCAGGAGGACCCTCCCAGAGCCCGCCCCAAAGTGGGCCTCGCCGGGGTGACGGCCCAGCCGCACCCCAGCCGCCTGCAGACCACGTTGGCCGCCGGCAGGTCCCAGCGGTCGTCGCACACTGTCCCCCAGGACCCCTGGAAGAAGAGCCCCACTGGGCCGGCGCAGCTCCCCTTGCCGCCCGTCAGCCGCACCAGTCCCCTGGAAGGACAGGGAGGCTCGGGGGTCAGGGGCCCCCCTGGATGAGGCTCGGGTCTACCTGCTTTCTCGCATTCCAGAACCTGCTCCTTGCACCCTCCTGCTCCCATGAGCGCGTCCAGGCGCCCCCGCCCCAGGGTACCCTAAGAAGCCTGTATGCTTCCTCCCGCACCCTGGTAAGGCAGCCTGCCTGCCGGACGCCTCACAGGCCACAGTGTTCTCTCCCTTCAATCCTGGAAGATGTGGCTCCTGCACCAGAGGTTGAGTTTATTCCCACCCCCTGGTTCTGGGCCGGCGGCCTGGCCGATAGAAGTAATGGGCGGAGGCCTCAGGGTCACCTCGGCCTGCTGGGTGGTGGGAGAGGGGTGGGATCGTCACCTCAGTCATAGCTGCCATGCTCCGAGACACGAGAGGGCTCTGGCGGGTCGGGCAGTTTCAAGTGACCTGTCCGCTAACCTCAGATGCAAGAGCAAATCCTGTCAAGGTCAGCCAAGGTCAGCCAAGATGTGCCCAGCTGACCCACAGACTCACAGGCAATTGTAAGTGACCCCAGAGGGGCCACCGCGCTGGGTGGGCCATGTTTCCTGCTGGCCACTTGGGCGGTGAAAGAGAGTACGCCCCGGGGAAGGTGGGTGTGAGGGTCCCAGTGTGGGTGGGCGAGCGAGTCAAGAAGCTGCTGAGATTAACGGTGCTGGGAGGAGCGGGGAGGAAGAAGGGCAGCGCATTCCCAGAGAAGGCCTCCCTGGCGGCCAGCTCCTCTCTTGTGCCTCCCCCTTAGGTGTCCACCCCGTGGCCTAGGGGAGCAGCGAGCACGTGGGCCTCTCTCACAGCAGGGCCCCCCATCCTCGTGCTGAGGCTTCTGTATACAAGACTCGTCTGTCTGCAAACACAGGGAACTGGGGCCGCAGGCGTCCATTATGGACGTCCAGCCCCGCCTGCTCGGTGCTGTTCGTGGTAGCTCACGTGACACAAAAAATATTTAGCAAAGGAAGAAAAAGAAGGACACGGAGCTTGAATCCAGGCACCTGAAACTCAGAGTCCATAACCGCACCCTGGTGATCACCCACCCCAGAACCCTGCCAGTGTGCCGGAGCTCTGGCGCCTCATCTGTCCATGGGAACACCCCGAGTCCCGGGAAGGGAGGGGCCCCTCTGTCCTCCCCTAAACGTCTGTCCAACAGCTAGGTTAGGGAGTAATGGGCCCGGTGAGCTATTCTTGCCGTTTCTGACCCCAGGCTAATTTGCCTCTTGGTCACGTCTGAATCTGGAAAGCGGATTAATGTGTCCGCCCCACAGCCCAAGGTGGTCCAGCTACCTAGTTTCTTCCCCCTGGACGACCCCACTGTCTCCTCACCTGGTTGAGGTTGAGGTACTTGAGCTTCCTGCCTGATCCCCAGGTCAGGTAAAGCCCCTCCTGAGCCCCACCGCACCCCAGCACCCTGAGCCCCACGGCACCCCGGACCCTGAGCCCCACCGCACCCCGGACCCTGAGCCCCACAGCACCCCGGACCCTGAGCCCCACCGCACCCCGGCACCCTGAGTCCCACCGCACCCCGGCACCCAGGGAGCCATGCCTGCTTTGGTTACTGCCGCGAATTGGACCAACAAGACCCGCGCAGAGGCGCCGCCTTACCCGAAGGTGCGGAAGGTGGTGGCCGCTGAGCCGCCCCGAGCTCCGGAGCCGCGGGCACTGCGTCCCCAGGGCCTGTTGGGGGCGACATCGGGAAGTCAGAGCCGCGACAGAATGCACAGAAGCTCCAAAGTGGCTGCGTCCTGGGGGTTCAGCAGGAATGAGGAGGAGCAAGGCCAGGGACCCATCCCCCCCAGACCCCTCTTTGGGGCAGAAAGAACGTGGCTGCCTGTTGACCCACGGGGGTGGCCCCCTGGTCTCTCTGCCGCACCCCCCGCTGGTCCTGAAGTCACACAGCACTTGCACTGCGGGGAAACGGGGTCTGGACTCAGAAACGGCAGGAGAAGACCTTAGGGCCAGAGAACTGTTCTAGTTCTTGATGGCGACAGCACAGCTGAATTCGATCCCCAAATCCATCAAGCTGGACCTTAAAATGTGTGACTTCTGGGGCTCATAAAGCAGAGCTCAGTGATAAAATGTGTTTTATGTTCATGCTATTTTTATGTCACTATGAAAATAAGAACGAGCATCCCAGAATGCGCCCAGCATCTAGGCAGTTCGTGCGGCCGTTCTTCAACTTTGTTGGGCACTTTGAAAATGCGTAATCAAATACTGGGGTGCAATGTCCCCTGACTTCTGTTACCAGACACACACAGGGGTAAGGAGGAAGCTGCAGCCTCCGGGCGAGAACCCCCAATCGGTCTCCTTGGGAGAGGAGAGTCGGCTTTTACTGTTTTGTGTGAATTGCCAGAGCCCCGAGTCACTCCATCCTCTGCACTCCCAGAATCCAGGCGCCGACTAGACAAGGCTGGGACGTCCTTGAGACGTCCTTGAGACGTCCTTGAGACGTGCAGGCGACGGCAAGAGGCACCCGCTCCCTCTGCTCCCCTGGGCCCCCTGTGGGGTGTGGGGTGAGGCAGGGGGCTGTTCACCTTCCGTCCTGGGAGACCCAGCGGGTCCAGGCAGCGCCGCTCACCCCCACACGTGACCCCCGGCTGCCTGGCTCGGAGGGGACAGGCACAGGCAGGGGGACAGCACGGAGGCTGAGAGCCGGGCACCGCCGGACCCACCTGCCAGGGTGTGCGACGAGGTGGCAGCTTCGGGCTCGGAGGCTGGAGTGGGGCCTGGTGGCCGGGCGGCGCCTGGGGACACAAGCCCAGGCTCAGCTCTGTGCGTCCGTGACGTCCGCTCCCGACAGCCGACGTGGTCACGGGCAGTGGGACGAGAGGTGGCCCCGGCCGAGGCGGCAGCCCTCACCTGTGCAGATGACGCTGGCGCCCGCCAGGGACCTGCAGTTGTGCCCGGCCGCGGCCCTGTGCGCACACTGCCCCAGGTGGCGCTCGCTGCCCACACACCGCACGCTGTCCAGCAGGACCTGCCCGGAGCCCGTCCCAAAGCGGGCCCCCGCGGGGGCCAGCACGGCCTGGCCGCACCGCAGCTGGCGGCACACGACAGCGGCCTCGGCCAGGCCCCAGCGATGACCGCACACGGTCCCCCACGTGCCCCGGCGAAGCACCTCCAGTCGGCCTGAGCACCGCCCCGTGCCGTTCGCCAGCCTCACGTCCATGCAGACTCCTGGAGGCACAGGAAGAGACACTGGGGACCCCCGCCGGCGGATGGGGGGTCCCTGTCCCGGGGTGCACTGGCTGGAGGGCCCCTCTCAGCTGCTGACAAAAGCCGTGTCGCCGCCCAGCTGCGGCACCTACAGTCATAACCACCTCTGCGTCTACGTCCTTCGGCTTTTCTCCTTGCCTTCACCGAGCTTGTCTTCGGCAGTCTGGACCTCAGGGTTGACGTGGCATCTCTGTACTCTGAAAGGGCTGTGGTCCATGCCCGGTGGTGGGCCGCCCGGATGGCGGAGTGCTCGCCAAGCAGTTCCAGGCCCAGAAGCGCCCCCAGCGGTGATAAAAGTCATTTCAAGAGGACACTCGCCAGAGCGCGTCAAGGAGGGGTTTGCGTCTCCATCTGTGTAACTCGTCCTGGGCCCATGGCCCAGAGATTTCAGTCTGGAGAAAGAACGGAGCTCCCCGCATGAAGCTGGGGTGTCTCTTACCCACCGCTGGCCTGACTCCACTTTTATTACCATTGAGCTTCCGTCTCCTCCTCGCTAAGGAGCTAACATCTGCCGAGTATCATGCAAGGTGCCGAGACGGGGCCAAGTTTAACTTGGGGAAACAGGCCATGGGTGGTTCTAGGGAAAGCTTACGGGCTGACGGGAAGGCCTGGCCATGGCCGAGATGGTCAGTTTGTCCAAATGAAGCCACAGGAGCAGCCAGGGACATCCAAGCGGACAGTGAACCCTTCATGTCTGTTATAATCAATTCTCAGAGTGTGCCTAATAGCCTTAGCATTTGACGTTCCAGGCAATCTTCTCAGGAGCCCTCAGGTGAGCAGTTAGTCCTTGTTCAACTCCCGATTTACTTTTGTTCACTTGCTTTGCAGGGCACAAGGAAGCCAACCCCTTCCCGGTACCCCTGTGGGCCTGCTGCTCCCACCTTCCCCACCTAGGGTGCTCGGTGTCAGCTGTCTTCTCAGCCTCTGTGTGGGCCTGGGAACTGCAGGGAGAGGCCTTTCTTGCCCCTGGGTGTGGTGTAGTGACCGTGGTTAAAGGCATCGCTTCTGTGCACGGCTCCAGCGTGGTCAGACACTATGCCGCGACTGCCCGGCCACAGGAGGTACCTGCCACGCCACAGGAGGCTTTATCGGCCACCACCTGTGTGGAGTGAGGGCAGGAAGGGCCTGATGTGGAAATGGCAGTTGCCAGTCCATCACCTGCACACAGGGACAAACAGGGACACCACTTAAGACCAGCGGCCTCCTAACTCACATCAGATGTGTTTCCATGAGAACATTCTGGAAACCAGACTCCAGTATGGCACAGGTTTTCCACAGGTTTCCCCGCAAACAAAGCTCCAGGCTGGGAATGCACCCCCATCCTGCCCCAGTCTAGTTCTGGAGCCTCTAAGGGGAACTTGAGGTCGGCCCCACGCTGTGCTCTGTGCCCCTGAGTCCATTCTGGGGTCTCTGCTGCCATCTCTCATCTCTTCCTGCGGGCAGCTGAGCGTCACGGCGACATGGCCTCACGGGGGTGGGGGCGGGCTTTCCACCTGCTCTCAGTGCTGGGAAGTCCCGCTCTGTGCAGCCACGGGGCGTCTGGCTCACGTGGCACCTGTGAGCCGCTCCGGCTCCTCCTCTGCCTTGTAAGTCATGGATCCAACAATCGTATTTCCTGGTCCTTAGGGGCATTTGGATCAAGTCGCTTTTGAAAACGTCCACCGGCAGGTGAACACATGACGATTTGGGGGAGAGTGGAGAGCGGCCAGAGCCAGGAACGCCACGACTTCCCCCGACTCACCTCTTCCTCCGGGTGCTGAGCCCTACCCCCTTAACAAACTCGTGATAAGCCACGAGGCCAGACCCCCTTGGAGGGCTGATGTGGTGCCCTCTGGCAGCTGCCACCTCCTGCAGTGACACGCAGCTGCCGCGGCTGCTGATGGAGAAGACAGAGTTCAGCCAGGTGCGGGGAGGGGCGCCCCCACGTCGGCCTGCCTGTCCCTGGGCACAAGCCAGCTGTGAGAGGGTCCCGGGCCACACCCGGCAGGCACACAGTCACTGTGTACATCTGCACTCCCCGTGTCACCAGCTCCTCGGCTCCTTGGTGTAGCAAATCGATGTCCAATGCACGTGCTCAGCTCAGCCTGCTGTGTGTTATCAGTAGCAGATCTTTTAACCCCCCCAACCCCTCCCCCCGGCCCTTTTCCACTTGATTCTACAACAATGGTTTGGGCTCGGGAGTCATTGGGTTACAATTTGGATGCCCCAGCAGTAGTTCCTGACACACAGAAAGGAGTTTTGCTTTTTTTTTTTTTCTTCAAGAAATCAGGTGACGGATAAACATGTTGAAAAATGTCCGCACCCTTTACGAATCAACAGTTTTCACTGTAAAAAGAGATGGGGCGGTTCTGCTGTCCCTTAAGTGTCCCCCCCCCACACACACTATTGATTGAGAACAAGTCAGACAGAGGGTGAGAATCAAAGGCACGGTGGCCGGTAGAGAGCGCTGACCTGAGTGTGCGTACATTGAGGAAGCAGCTTCTGTGAGAGCCGTCAGACCGTCAGCATCTGGGTGGAGACATCATTATGGCACTTTCTGGTGAGCCCAAAAGATTCTCATAAGAGGCTTATTTAATCAATTGTTCAATGGCACAGACAGTCCTCACTTGGCATTAGTTCCTATATTTGGTTTGTCTGCGCATAATGGACTGGTTCTGTTTAGAACACGTGTAGGATTTTTCACAGTGGCCCATAGGAACCCGATTACTCAGAAGCTAATTTTTCCAAAATGTGATTGAAAGCATCTTGAAAGATGCTTCAACATCTGAAAATTTTGCCTGTTTAGATACATTTGGGAAACTGAAGTCCTTTTAAAAAAACCCACAAGTTCTTACCAAAACTAAAATCCCTTCACTGTCCTGGAATAAAACTACCAGAAAACCCAACACTTGTCTTACTAGTTTAACTAAAGTCGGCTAGTAGTTTGGAATATTGATTTGAGTGTCTGGCAACATTACAGTCTTAAAGAGTAAGAGGTTCCTCACACAGCTTTTAGCAAACACTGATTCCTAATAACGAAACCAAAGTAAGATTTTTCTTAGAAAAAATGACTAGACCTGATAGTCACTGGATTTTTGATATAAACAAAAATCTGAGTGTAAAGTAGAGCCTCGTATAATCTACTAGTGCTTTTAGATGGCTTCACTTAAGCAAGATCTCAAAAATGAAAACAAAATGTTAGGATCTGATAAAAACTAAGTGTGCCCCGAGTACATCAGATTGATCTCAACAATTGCAAGTTCTGTGGTTTCCACAACAGTCCTTTCAATATCGACGAGTCATGGTTTTTGCGATGAGTTTAGACAAATAAGGAATTACTTGAGCCATCTGGGTGATGGGAAGAGACAGCTGCTCCCCTGGGCCCCCTGTGGGCTGTGGGTGGGGCAATGCAGAGAGCTGTTCACCTTCCGTCCTGGGAGACTCGGCCCTGCGGGGCCAGCGCGAGTCAGGCAGCGCCCCTCACCTCCGCATGTGACCAGTCATCCACAGGGAGCCTGGGGGCGGGCCTGGGGCTGTGGAGCAATGGCCGCTGCCTGGCTCGGAGGGGACAGGCACACGCAGGGAGGGGCAGCACAGAGGCTCGAGAGCCGGGCACCGCCGGACCCACCTGCCAGGGTGTGCGACGAGGTGGCAGCTTCGGGCTCAGAGGCTGGAGTGGGGCCTGGTGGCTGGGCGGCGCCTGGGGACACAGAAGACACAGGCTCAGCTCTGTGCGTCCGTGATGTCCGCTCCCGACAGCTGACGTGACCACAGGCAGGGGGCAAGAGGTGGCTCCTGCTGAGGCACAGCCCTCCCTGTGCAGATGACGCTGCGTCATTGCATAGATTAAGACACTGAGACTCAGGAAGGTCAAGAAAGTCTCACGTGGGCTGCCTCCCCTGCAACTGCCTGCATCCCCTCGAGCTCGGGGATATGTTCCCCTCGTGCTGCTGGTCAGTCCTCGACTCTCAGCAGCTGCTGCTCATACCTGTGAGTGAGGGTGTGGAGACCCTGGCAGCGGGGGTCCTTGGAAGCTCTGAGCGGCCTCTGGCTGGAAGGAACAGCAAAGCTATGTCAGAATTCATCCTTAGAGGGGAAAGAAGCACACGCACTGCAGGGCTGACTTCTGAGAACCCGGGTGCTTGTTGTTTAATTGTCTTTGGCATCATCGAGGTAAAAATCATCACCACTGGCCTCGGTTACTTATCCTTGAATCTTTGGCTCAGTAGATGTAAATATTAAAAAACAGAAGACAGTCTGAAGGACACCCTACTCATGGGAACCTAAAGGAAATGAAAGTAGTCACTACAGAGTAATACTATGGGCCACAATTCACTACAAATATTCATTAAGTGTGTGAGAAATGGTGGCTTTATTTAAATCTGGAAAAAGTTACTATAATATGAGGTGTTTGTAAGGGAAGTCAATAAAAACGGTACAAATATAGAGGCTATGTCATCTGTGGAGACCACGGGAAGTGACCTGGAGCCCAGGAACATTAAAACATGTAGGACTTTCTTATTTTTAATAGTAGCTTATTTTTACATCATTTTGTGCTTTTTTCCATCTCAGCTGCAATCCCCATGGACTTCCCATCACCAATCATGGTAGGACTTTTACAGGTGAAAGGACGGGAGTTAATTTCAGGTGGCATGGGTGTTGGAGGATCTCAAATTTAAATAGCAAGGAGTTGAAATAATAAATAGGCAGAGAAACCATTTGGGAGTCTGTGGTCTTGTAGGCAGGAAGAGAAATGAAGATTTGGGTAAAACAGTGACTATCAGATGAAGAGGAGACCATGAACGTAAAATTAATTCACCCCAAAAAATCTATTTGCAAGATAGCAGATGTTTACAGCTCTCTTGAAATTGTATTTAAATATTCTCATTTGGATGTTTTGCTTTCTTTCTCTCTCTCTATATATAGTATATTATATATACATGATATATATATAAAATAACCCTGAACACATAATCTAAAAACAAAGAGAGAAGTGATTCTTAAGTACGAAGTTCAACTTACTAGATGGACTTGTTTTTGCTAATGATGATGGTGACGCTTCTGGTGACACTGATGCTGATAAAGATGTCATTGATGATGAGAACAATGGTGATGTTAATGAAGATGATGGTGATGAAGATGAAGATGATAATGGTGATGAAGATGATGGTAATGGTGACAATGACAGTGATGATGGTGGTGGTGATGAAGATGATGAAGATGATGATGATAATGTTGATGATGACAATGGTGTTGATGACAGTGAAGATGATGATAATGTTGCTGTTGACAATGGCAATAATGATGACAATGGTGATGAAGATGATGAAAATAATGCTGGTGGTGGTGATGAGGATGATAACAGTGCTGATCTTGGTGTTGACAATGGTGATGATGATGATGGTGATGATGAAGATGATAATGATAATGCAGGTGGTCGTGATGGCGGTGACGAAGGTGATGATGACAACAATGGTGAGGATGATAGTGATAATGGTGACGTTGGCAATGGTTGTGAAGTTGACAAAGATGAGGCTGATAATGGTGATGAAGATGGCATCAGTTCTGCTTCTACTTATAAATTCAAGAAAATATTTTTCAGAGTGTGGTCCCCAGAACAGGAACACAAACCACCCAAACATTTTGGAAATGCAAATTGACCCTTGGGCTTACTGAATCAGAAACTGATTGGGATCTAGCAGGTTATGTTTTAATAAACCATCCAGGTAATTTTGATGCAGAGTAAAGCTCTAAAACCACTGCTTTAGGATCAAAAAATATTATTCGAATCACCCTATGACTTTTCCTGGTGGTAGAGGGACTTTAAAGTCATCTAAGTATGAATATATCAACTGATATTTCTTTGTCTGTTAGGAAGGATCAGGTTTCATGTATTCCAGAGGGACAATTTTCTGATCTAATCACTGTGGAAAGTGAATGACAACTTCTCCTCAAATAAGTAATTTGTGATGACAGATGAGCATTGGCACAGGAAACTACACCCTAGCCAGTGGCTATTCCAGTTCTCAATAGCCTCAGGAGTCTTTCCTTGCCTGCAACTACCTGCTAACTAAATTCTGACTTGGGAAGGTGTTTGTACCTGGGTGATTGGGTTTTGTTGGCTAATTGTCAACATCCCTCTTAGCTAATATTGCTCTTGGGTGTTGAGCAATCTATGATGCTTCCTCCTAAATATTGCCTGGGATCTACCCTGGGGAAGCTGCTCAGGGAAGGGTCCATTCAGGCCAGGATTAGGAGTTTCCTGGGGAAGTAGGGGGAGCAGGAGCACATGAAAGCAAGGTCAGTCCTGCTCCTCTGTGTTCTGAATTCCATCCATTGCAGTGGGTTGATTTCTAGACTGGGAAAGCCTTTTGGCCCAGGCAACATGGACCATGTTCATCAACTCAGCAAGCTGCTTGTAGCTTGATTTAACTGAGTCACTTCGTTTCCCTTTCAGTCACACAGAATAAGTGTTAACTAGGCAGAATGATAATACAATGGGACATAGGAATAGCTCAGATCAGCCTTACTTGGAGGGGAGGGACCTGCAGTTAGAGAACCAGTTAATTCAGAGAAAGGAAAACTTCAGCCCTCCCACAGCAGACCATTGGCTCAGTTCCCGTTTTCTGCAATGACACACTCTGTCTGCCAGTCATTTAGACCCCAAAAGACCTCTCACCTGAGCAGATGACTCTGGGGGACAGAGCCCCAGCAGCCAAAAATCCTCCCAGAACTTTGGGTCCCTAAAAAAGTGACTGTGGCCATCACTTGGAAACCGTGAGGTCACAAGATTACCCTGTCCCAGCACCCACAGATGCACAGGCCCCTTCTAATCAGTGGACAACTGTTCCCCTTTTAGGGACAACTGCTGGCTCTACAGTGTGAAATGCCCTTTACCAGCCACTGCCTTGCAGACCCCACTGCAGGTGTGTGTGTGTCTGGGGTGGGGGAGTTGCTTGCTTTTGCATTGGTGCTTTACAACTTGACATAAGCAGGTGACATGAACAATTGAGGCCACATATTCTGCCGCTGGGGAAATGCATGAATTAGATGGTCTAGTCAAAGAAGCAGAGCACTACAGCTGTTAAACCGGAGAATGACACACCCACACGTGTGCCATAGCATGGGTAGGTCTCAAAAATGTGATATTGAGTAGAGGATAAATGATATTGAATGATATACAGGGACTCATGGCATTAGAGTGCAAGAAAAGCACAAATCACATATAGCCACCCTGGATGCATGTGGGCCTCAACTGTGAGCCCAGAGCATGTGGCGTTTTGGTCTATAGACTTTACATGCACTGCTTGGAGGGCTGGTAGACGGGGCCTGCGCATCTGTGGGTGCTGGGTGGGGGCGTCCTGTGACCTCACGGTTTCCAGGTGAGGGCCACAGTCATGTTTTGAGGGAGTCAGAGTTCTCGGAGGAGTTTTGGTTACTGGGGCTCTGTACCCCCCTAACCTGGGAGTTAGTCAATAGTCCTTTGCATAGAGATCACTTAATTTGCAATCATAAAAATATAACAAGAAGAACTATAGTGAGACAGCTCATAAGCGTATCTCCAGGAGGGAGAGAATGGGGCTGAGGCTGGCGATTTTCAGGGTCATCCAGGATGTTCCCTTCTTGCTAAGCTGGACAAGACGACAGATTCACGTGTGGCCACGCACTGCCTCACGGGAGGGGCCCGGCCTCTGCGTTCTGATTCTCTGTATTTTCTGAACTTGAACATGCTCCTTTGGGAGAGGAGGACCAGGAAGATGACCAGGAGGCCCAGTGGGTGGGGGTCCATGGTCCTCTTCCTCTCCCTGTGTCCAGCTCCAGGGCTCAGTGGCTTCTAACTCTGCAAGTCTCCCTGTTCCTTCCCCAGCTGGGACGCTCCCCTGGGGTTCAGGAGCGCAGTGGTGCACCCCGGGGGACGTTTGCTGACCTGAGGGGCTGGGCCAGGGCGCCTGTGCTCTGCGGCTGGACGATGCTGGGTAGACCCCAGGTAAAACTAGAACAACAGGGAGACCGTGGTTAGCACTGAGGCTGCGTTTCCTGAGACAAGAGACGCGAGAACTCACAGGAAAAGGACCCGGCTAGCAGCGACTGAAGAGCCACCCGCTGCTCCGTACTGCAGTTTCCCAGAACATCTGCACTGACCATAGCTCATAGGCCCAGTTTCTAGTGAGCTCTGAGTCAGGGCAGGGGCTGACAGAGGCTCCTAAAGGGGACCCTGCTGCTTTCCCTGGCCCCCCGCCCCAGGAACCCCACATCAGCCCAGGTTCTGTGCAGCACTAGTGAACTAAGTCACAAAAGAACTGGGCAAAAGTCGCAAAGATGACTGCTTTCATAAGGACACTGGTCATCGTGGGTGAGCCCGCAAAGGACATCACGTGACAGGCGCCTGGATCCCTCCGCCCCGGCGTCCCTCTGGAAGGTGCAGGACTGCGGTGCGCATTGCTGTACCTGCTGTGACGCTTGGTTTCCTTTCATGATCTGCTGAGGCTGGAAAAGAAAACAGCCGTTCGAATCTGGCTGCATTTGTTCACTCCACGGGCAACACAGCCCTCAGGGGAGGGCCAGCCGCGTGTTCCTGGCGCCCCAGAGCGATGCCCCTCCCCTGAGCACAGGGTCCCCCCCATATCTGAGTCTGGCGGCTCCTTTGCCAAGACCGAAGTGGCCCTGCGAGGGCCCAACCGCCAGCCCAGCCTGTACTTGCTTTTACTGCTCCCGCCAACTTTCGCTGGATGCTTGGCTCGTGCCGGGCACCGTGAGAGGTGCCAGAGATCAGCAAGACACACCAAACCTTTGCCCTCTTGGAGCTAAAACTCTGTGGCTAAGGTGTTGCTGGGCTTCCTGGTGTCCACTGTGTTTGCTCCAGTTCTGAACTTATCATCCTTCTTCTGGAGATGCTTGAAGAGGCCTGTGCCCTCTCATACACTCCCGCTGCCACTGTTTTCCCTCAGTGGCACTGTTTTCCCTCGTGGACCTACCTGCGGAGATGTCTGCAAGGTTAGCACTTCCTGGGTCCGGGGGAGTCGAGACAGCTGCTGAGGAAACAAACGAGAAGACCCACGGCTGCTATGAATATAGACGGCAAAGAGAAGGGCTTTATTCGCCTGCATGTATCTCCGGAGAAGAATTCACGTTCAAAGAGAGGGTGGGAACACTTCACCAGACACGGGGCCACTTACTATGTTATTGTACTGAGAGGAAATTTCCAGACCGGGTAAGCCCACAGAGATGGGGAGCAGGCTGGTGACTGCCAGGTGCTGGGCAGGGAGTTGACAGGGAGCAGAGACAGCTGCTCTTTCCTCTGTGGCCAGCAGAGCGGCGCCGCCACCCCCGGGTCACTCCACAGCGCCTGCCCCAGGCACGGACGGAGCCACACCTGCGGGCACTGGGCACCCGGCTCTCCACTCAGGGCTTGCCCAAACCCACCTGCTTCCTCCTCACACAACTGCTAACCCCAACGGATAAGGACAGTGAGCACCGGGCGGTAAAGAAGCCTGCAGAGGCTCACACAGCTGGCGCCAGGCCCACAGCCCGGCAGCTGGCCCTGACCTGGGGACTGTCCAGCCAGTGGAGTGTGCAACTCGGAGCCAGGCCGTAGGCGAGCGGCGAGATCAGCCCACCCTTTATCCTTAGTTACCCTCGACTCAGAAGGCTCCTGACAGTTTCTGTACAGGCTGCACGCGGCCAGTCTTTTCAGTAGTTAGTGGGATTTTATGTGGGTCAGAGAGTTAAAGTAGTTCAGAGCTTAAGCTCGAGGGCTCTGAAGTCAGATCGTCTGTAGTACCAGCCCCTCGGCCTTGGGGGCTACATCTGGCCTATTGGAACCGAGTTTCCCCATTCAGAAAATAGGGATCATGGAAGTTCCCTCATCTAGCTGTTGAGGCTCAGGTAAGAAAACCCAGGTAAGGCAGGGGAGACAGGGATTGATGTGGAAAAAGACAATGCTGTCCCGTAGGAGTAAGTCAGGAGTCACATATGTAATTTAAGGTTTTCTGGTAGCCATATTAACAGTAAAAAGAAACAGGCGAAATGAATTATATATAT